AATTTTCTCTGTATATTGAGAAGTGCAGAAACAAGTGTGTGAGGATGACAAAGATGCTAAACACTGTATTTTCTTTTGAAACATATATGCAATTTAGACAAAAACTATTTTGCTTATTTCAATAGGGCTTAAAGAATGTGTTGTGAAGTCTGAATATATTTGGGACCCAACATGGCTTAGTGTGTGTGCGGTATCAGTTGAAATTAACAGCAGAGAAGCACAAAAGGCATTGACATTTATTTATATGCTCCCAAGTAAAACAACCTGAAATATAAAGAAAGCCATAATTTTCCCCACTAAAAAAAATCATGAAAAACATAACCAGATCACAGTATCCCAGAGTGCATCATCTTTATTTCCATTTAAGTTATTGGAGAATTAGTGCTTTTTGATTCTGCGAATATTGGCTGTTCTTGGAAACGTTACCTCAAGAACCAAGTACCCATTTGTATAACATCAGCTCTCTTGTCATGTTGTCTGTGTTTATGTTTGATCTCCAGAACATTAGTATGCACTGCTTTGCTTTTTAAAGACTTACAAGACCTATCTGAAGATTTATAAAAGACTTATACAAATGTATAAAAGATGTTCTATAGACAATCAGTATCGCTGATTGCAATTGTAAGATGATACCCTGAAACAAACAACTAAATCTGTAGTAAATATTTTTGCTTTTTGTCTTAGACTCTACCAGAGGATTTCCAGATTTTGCAGAATCACTCAAAAACAGCATTGATGGAGATCTTTTCGGCCAGTGTGCCTTCCCAAAACAGCATCTCGCTCTTCAAATAAAGTAAGTGAAAGAGCGTCCCAAATATGGGAAACTTTGTAGGGACTTGACTGTGACTGCTGCTCTATAAAGGATACTTTAGAAAAATAAAACACCTTGGTTTATAATAGGCACATATAAAAATCAAACGATTTCAATGCCGTTTAGTCGCTGAGAAGAGACCAAAGAGACAGAGGTGGGAAAATAGTTCTTAATATCCAACCATACCTCTTAACAATCCTCTCTTCTGCTCTCTGCCACTGTTTTCCACACAGGCAGCCACTCTATCAATCTAGCCCCATCCCCAGTTGCCCACTATACAATTCTTTCCCCACATGCCCGTGGTACTGCGTCTCCCACACACAGAGGTGGCACAGTGGCTGACAATCTGTTTCTTTCTCTCCCATCCACGCTTTTCCCTCCCCTCCACATGGCTCCTCTATTCTCTCTCCGCCCCCAGTTCCACCCCAGGGCCTCCATTTATGCTCCCCACAAAGACACTCTGGGAAGGATGGTCTAGTGTCTCATGCTGATTATTTTTCTTGGGAAAAGCAGTCCATTACCCAGATTCTGCACCAAAAAGGAAAGTCCAGCTGCTGGCATACCCAGAAAGAAAGACTCCTCCCCTTTCAAAAAGCAGAGAGAAGGGAGAAAGGCCTTGTGTTCATTAATCCTTTTTATTCCAGTGAATAGACACATCTCGTCCTGTGTACAGCCCTGGAGAATTGCATAACAGTGCCAAGGAAGTTACAAGCCCCTGGATGGCAGTAAAAATGTAATCCTTGTCAGACACAATGTTACCGTCCTCTCAAGTCCCAAACACTTATTGTTTCATCTGATCTGGTCATATTTCCTTCCAGAATTTTTGGACTGGAAAGAAAATTTAATCTTGTGCTCTGATATGTAAGATGAGAAATCAATTGCTTGAAGATTAACATTATATAAGAAAGCCTTCCTAAGTGACCAATGCAGATAAATAGAGGAAAACGATAGAATGGGAAAGACTAGAGATCCCTTCAAGAAAATTAGAGATACCAAGGGAAAATTTCATGCAAAGATGAGCACAATAAAGGACAGAAATGATATGGACCTAACAGAAGCAGAAGATATTAAGAAGAGGTGGCAAGAATACACAGAAGAACTATACAAAAAAGATCTTCATGACCCAGATAACCATGATAGTGTGATCACTCACCTAGAGTCAGACATCCTGGAGTGCAAAGTCAAGTGGGCCTTAGGAAGCATCACAAGGAACAAAGCTAGTGGAGGTGATGGCATTCTAGCTGAGCTATTTCAAATCTTAAACAAAGTTGCTGTTAAAAGTGCTACACTCAATATGCCAGCAAATTTGGAAAACTCAGTAGTGGCCACAGGACAGGAAAAGGTCAGTTTTTAATTCCAATCCCAAACAAAGGCAATGCCAAAGAATGTTCAAACTACTGCACAATTGCACTCATATCACATGTTAGCAAAGTAATGCTGAAACTTCTTCAAGCTGGGGTTCAACAGTATGTAAACTGAGAACTTCTAGATGTTCAAGCTGGATTTAGATGAGATCGGGTGTGTTCAGGGTGGTATGGCCATAGACTCAAGCTGCATTTAGAAAAGGTAGAGGAACTAGAGATCAAATTACCAACATCCACTGGATCATAAAAAAAAGCAAGAGAATTCTAGAAAAACATCTACTTCTGCTTCATTGACTATGCTAAACCCTTTGACTGTGTGGATCATAACAAACTGTGGAAAATTCTTAAAGAGATAGGAANCTGGGAAAGATTGAAGGTAGGAGCAGAAGGGGATGACAGAGGACTAGATGATTGGATGGCAATGAGTTTGAGCAAGCTCCAGGTCTGGCGTTCTGCAGTCCATGGGATCACAAAGAGTCAGACACAACTGAGCTACTGAACACCAACATTACCTTACATTTACCAAGAAGAGGAAACAGTGAGATTTAGTGGCTCTGTTAGATTTTGAGTGGAATGAGAATAATATCTTTTAATTATAGGCTTTCCATCTATAATCTGTTCAGGCAATTTACCTAATTTAGTGACTTCAAAGACCCACCATTCCTGTGTGTCATAAACTTTGTCAAGGCTTTGTGATTCTTCTACCTCCTCTGACTTGCGTGCAGGGAAATCAGTAGAATTCAACTGGGCTTCCTACAGGATCCATGACAATTTTGCTCACATGCTTGGTGTCTTGGTGGGGACGGCTGGAAAGTTGAACTCCATTGCATCCTCTCACCTCCATGTAAACTCTGATCCTCTCCATATAGTTTTTCCAGGGTCATTGACTCTTTTACATGACAGTTCAAGGTTTCAAAAGCAAGGATTCCAAGAGACAGAAAGAGATCTGCCAGTCTCTGAAGGACTGATCCAGCAAAGGGCACATTGCCATTTCCACCATATTCTGGTGGTCAAAGCAACTATAGGCTTTTAAAATGAAGATTCATAGAGCCACAATTTGATGGCGACAGGGTAAAAGAAGCAAACCCCACAAATGTGACTATCTCTAACCCACCAGACTTTTCCTTATCAGCAGTTATGCCTGGAAGACTCAGCATAACTGATTTCTTCCACAGCAAGAGCTGGCAAACATAGCCCAGACACCAAATCCAGCCCACCTCCAGCTTTTGCAAACAAAGCTTTACTGGAGCACAATCACACTCATTCATTTCTATATTGTCTATGGCTGTTTTCACACCACAAATGCAGAGTTGAGTAGCTGTGACAGAGACCATATGGCTCACAAAGCCTAAAATATTTACTATCTGGCCCTTTACAGAAAGTTTGTCAACTCCTCTTCTATAGCAGAGAGAGAACCCAGTTATGACAGAGATAGTAAAAAACACTCTTCCCAGCCCTGGTCATTTGTGAGGCAGAGATAGAGTGGTGGTGGTGGTGGGGAGCTTAGAGGTGGCCATGTCCCTGGGAACAGCTTGGAGGATTTATGATCAAGAAGGAAAAAAACAAAACAAAATAGATCTGGAACCAGACACACTCTTGGTGGCCAGCAGTCTAGAGACTGGACCAGAGGCCTCACTCTCCAGCAGAACAATGCAGAGTCTGAAGCTCACCTTGTGGATACAGGCCCTTAGGTCATGCAAAATGCACACTCCCACCCTCTCCCTAAGAAAAGCCAGAGAAGGGGCAAGTTGAGTCATCTAAGGGAGTAAGAGAGATGGCTTAAACTCATTGAGTTGTGCTGCCATCCACTGTAGCAAGTTCAGACCTTGTATTTGAACCCCAACTCCCCACTTCGTCTCTGAACTAATCAATAAGACCTGAAGAAGGTCATTATTTATGGGCAATAAATAAACTACATTTTTTTTTCCATACAGGAATGTACAGTATAAATTTTAGACCCTGTAGCAATGAAAATCTATGAATTTCTTATATTCTCTTAAGTGAAACCCATATTGTAAAAGTCTTAACATTGCCAGGCCTTAACATCAAACTTCTAATAACACTGGAATGAGCCTCCTTCTTAAAAGATGGAGGACATTCCTGTGGTAGGTCATAAAGTGCCATTTATGAGCAGTTTGGCCTACTTCCACTGTGGTTGGGATTGATAGTGACCTTGGGTAATGTAGTATAATATAATGTTGAAAGGAAGCTACTAAGACCAGGTTCCTCCCAAGAAAATAACAGTGAAGTTAATTCAGATGACTCCCTCGCAAAGTTTCTGCCTCCAACCCAGCAACACTACCACTCTGTTCTACATCTTAAAGGGTGTGGGGGCACTTTTCCTACTTGCTAATAAATAAGTCATTGGCTGTTAGAAAGCAAAGCTGAAGGAGTAGTTTTTAAGCTGCTGAGTTCAAGTGCAAAGGTGTGGTTGTGTGACTTTCTCCAGTTGGGGCCCTGGCATGGTTGTTTACAACTGCCTGAAGACCTAGGGAAGGGGGATCCTGAGTTTGACAGTAAAGGGAACCTTTCTCTTGGAGCTTCTTTCTCTTTTTATGAAGTACAGACAATGCCACCCAGAGAAACAGCGATTAGTAGATGAAGTGTCTATTTTAGGCCAAATTTTAAGATAGGCTGCATATTGCTGTGTAACAAACCAGTCCTGTTGCAGTGTGTTGTGCCCTGAAACAATATCAGTTTTTTAAAATCTCTCATGATGCCCCTGGGTCAGCTGAGCTCAGGGTGGGGGTTCTCTAGCCCCCTGTGATGTCATCTGGAGTCATGGTCATCTGAAGGCTCCTCTGATTTTGGAAAATCCAGATGGTGCTGAATCCTCTGTGGGGGCTGTCAACCTGGGCATCCAGGTTTTCTTCCACCTCATCTCTCTGTGTGGCTGGAGTTTTTCAAAGCATATCCCCAGTGGGAAAATTCCAAGTGCAAGCATCCAAGAGGAAGGGAGTGGAAGTTCCAATCTCCTAAGGTCTAGACTTAGAAGTCTCAAAATTTCACATCTGTCACATTTCACTACTCAAAGTCATCACAGGACCAACTCAGATTCAAGAGGAGGAATAGCCCTTCTTTTGATGTCAGGTGTGGCATGGGCATATAGGGAGGGGAGGCATTGCTGGGGGCTGTGTTAGTGTTCTCCAGAAAAACAGAATCAGTGCTGTGGGGTGGGGCGAGGGAAAGGGGGAGAGAGAGAGAGGGAGAGAATGAGAGGAAGAGAGGAGGTGTTCCTTTTTAAAGAATTGATTCACACAATTTTGGAGGCTAACAAGTCTAAAATCTATGGGGTAGGCCAGTAAACTGGAAACCTAGAGTAGAATTGCAGTTTGAGTCTGAAAGCAGTCTATGGTAGAATTTTTCCTTGCTTGGGTTTCCTAAGCAAAAGTTCAGTCTTTTGCTCTTAAGACCTTGAACTGGTTAAGTGGGGCCCACCCACACTATAAAGAGCAATCTGCTTTATTCAAAGTCCACTGATTTACATGTTATGTGCTAACTCGCTTCAGTCATGTCTGACTCTTTGCAACTCTATAGACCATAGCCCACCAGGCTCCTCTGTCCAAAGGATTCTCCAGGCAAGAATACTGGAGTGGGTTGCTGTGCCCCACTCCAGGGAATATTTCCAACCCAAGGATTGAACCTGCTTCTCTTACATCTCCTGCTTTGGCAGGAGGGTTCTTTACCACTAATGTCACCTGGGAAGCCCAATTTACATGTTAACCTCATCTAAAAATCATTTTCACAGCAACATCTAGAACAATGTTTGACCAAGTGTCTAGATATCATGGCCCAGCCAAGAGACATATAAAATTAACCATCATGGGGACCAACCTTTTAACCTGGTTATCAAAATAGGTCAAGATTCTTTCTGTCCACACCCTTTTGGATCATCCCCTCCTCCTGTCCTTCCAACCCCGTTGCTTCTCTATACTTTCCTTTCTCTTCTTTTATTCCTTTTGGACTCCATCCAGGGTCCTCTTCTCTGCCTCAGCCTCCTGTTCTGTGATCCCATTTCTCTGCTGCTTTATTTTCTGTAGACATCAAAGTTAATGAAATATTTTTCAGTCTCAGCTCTTACGCAGGGATGCCTTATTTGTTTTGTGCTCAAGGAATAAAGCATTCTAAGGACTGTGGTCCGTGAGGTGGAAGGAGCAGCAGGTGAGGGAACAGACTCTGATACTGCAGGATGTGGCTGGTGACTTCACTTCTCAGACCCCGAGCTTCCCCTCCCCCTTTTAGATTGAGCATCCTACGCCCCTCATCTGCCTGTCTGTTGGAAGAGACCAGGGGAGCCCAAGGTTCTCCCTTTCCTCCCAGGCACCATATGTTCTCACAACAATGGCCATCTGGAGATGGGGATGTTTTTTGTTTTGCTTTGTTTTAAAAAAAAGCAGAAATTTCTGAGTTGATAGGAAGAGAGAATGGCACCTTGTCTTTATAGCACGAAAAAGTGTATTTCTAACAGGTGGAACTTGGAGGGTGCCAGTCAGATCTCTGTGGGTAAACAACTACCACAGTGTATATGTAGGAGTGTGGGTTACCCTCTGAGCTAAGTGGAAACCATCTCACAAAACATTCATTCCACTTTTTACCCAATGCCTGGCTGTGGGAGGAAGGCAAAGCAAATATATCCATTTTTTCCCCAATCTCTAAAAGCTTTTCCAATCTTTATACTTTGACTCGGGGAGATTCTTTTAAGTTTTTTTCTCTTTCTGAGAATGAGTATTAATACATACACAAGTTCAACAAGCTGTTGAAGAGAAAGACCACTTCTAACAACCAGTAGAAGAGCAGACATATTTTTAGGTGTCTGAGAGAGAGAGAACAGGGAGTGGAAATTCAGAGTCAGAAAAACTAGGTTTAAAAATACCTATGAAAAGTGAAATGTTAGTCACTTAGTCATGTCCAACTCTTCGCTGCCCCCTGGACTGTAGCTCACCAGGCTTCTCTGTCCATGGAATTATCTAGGTAAGAATACTGGAGTGGATTGCCATTTCCTTAACCAGGGAATCTTTTTGATCCAGGGATCGAACCTGGATCTTCTTCACTGCAGGCAGAGCCTTTACTGTCTGAGGCACTAGGGGAGCCCCCAAGATACCTATGGGAATCTCTATAAATATGTATATAAATGCACAGAAAGAGTTCCATGAGGATAATTATCTAATATAACCATGTTACACTGGTGGGGGGTGGGCGTATTGGCATGGTGAGTGGGGATTTCACATCTTATTTAACATATTTCTGTGTTGTTTTACTATCTCATACCAAAGAAAGGTTCATGTTTTTCTTTCATCTTTAAAAGTTGTGGAGTAGAGCATATACTAGTTTGCTAGAATTGCTGTAATAAACTTCCTCAAACTGGGTGGCTTAAACAAGAGAAATTTATTGTCTTATAGTTCTGGGGCTAGAAATCCAAGGTCAAGGTGTTGACAGGGTTCATTCTTGCTGAGGGTTTCAAGAGAAAATCTGTTCTGTGCCTTTGCCTAATTTCTGATAGTTTGCTGGCAATTTTGTCATTCCTTGGCTTGCAGAAGCATCACTCTGATCTCTATCCTCATCTTTACATGGCATGTCTGTGTCCAAGTCTCCCCTTCTTATGAAGACACCAGTTATTTTGGATCAGGAACCCACCCTACTCTGGTACGACCTCATCTTAAATAATTACATCTGTAACAACCCTATTTCCAAATGAGGTCACATTCTGAGGTATGGGGAAGAAGGTGGGAGGGACTGCAACATATGAATTTTGGATGGAAGACAGTTAAGTCCAAAACAGAGCATAAAAAACTGTCTTGTAATAGGTTTTTAATTAAAGGCAATTTTTGAAAGAATTGTGGTTGGCACCTTGTTTGGCATAAACTCCAGTAGGACTGTGTCCAGTCCTTATCCTAAGCTTCCCTTTTGCATCTATAAAGTGGGGTCAAGGATATCTGCCTGTATTACTGCCACAGTGTTGTGTTAGGGTCAAATGACAAAATGAACACCCAAGAGCTTTATGCTCTGCAAAGGTCTATGTTAAGGGGGGGCTGATGGAGGTTCAAACAGGGGAGCACAGCTGCTCACGTACTGTGACTGAAGCCAAGATGTCTAGCCTCAGGAAGCAAGTACCCTGCACAGTGGAGAGATGCAGACATGCGTCTAGCCCTTGAGACCAAGAGATGACAGATGTCACATCTAACTTTCCCTCCAAACTGTAAAATTCCATTATAAATGAACCTGTGGGGAGGGATATCAGACATAAAGCTTGGGTTTTGAAGACTTTAATTCAGTGCACAGTATAATCCTTTTCGTTTGAATAGATCTTTATTTTGTGAACTTCAAAATTCAATAAAAGGGATGCATGAAAGTCAAGGGGAAATAGATTTGTGATTGTGGTTTATAGCAATAGTTCTTAACCTTATCTGGGTCACAAATTCTTTGGAGAATCTGTTTTTCAGAAAATCCCATGAATGCTTACATCAGAAAAAAAGGCATCTAGAAAATTCTGCATGTAATTTCAAGGAGTTCATGAACCTCAGTTTCAGAATCTCTGATTTGAATAAAAGTTCATAAGATAGAAGACACCTGATTACTCAAAGAATACTCCAAAAAGGGATTACTTTAGGAGAAGTGAAATTCTTTCTGCTTCAATTAAAAAAGAATTCCTCCTCATTCTCAGTAATAGGCAGAATTTCAAATACTTTCTATACATCCCATCACTATCTGAGCCTGTGGTGTCCTGAGAGCGCAACTTTTGTGACCTTGAACTGAGGTGTTCCAAGAGGCAACCTGCCAGGTGACTCTCAATTAACTCCGAGTGACGGGTACTGATGGTTGGAACAGTGACACTGTCACTTGAGTTCTGCCTTAGGGAAGAAGTGCCCAGCAGTACAAAAGCAGTCTATTTGGATTTCAGAAGTTTAGACCCTGCAGGTCTGAGAGAATATCTGATAATGTAAGGGTGTGGGTTCCCAAGAGGAAGCATAGAATTGCACCACTGGAGGAGAAGAGGGGAGTGCTTAGAATGTGGGGGTTCCTAAGCTGAGAGACTTGGGGATTTGTTTCTCTCCCCACTGGGATGAAGAAATAAAACTTCCAGATGGGTTGAGGGAGCTGATAATAGGGCAGGTCTGTGGCCTCATTCCCAGATGTGTCTACTTTAAGAGATGGGTCTGAAGAACTTCCTCCTCAGTGTGATGCAGAAATGGACTGGTTTGCATGAACCAAAGAGTGGCCCAGAGGTGGTGAAGGATCTTAAGCAGATCCACAGGATATCCTGCTGCAGAAGTAGAAAAGGTTTCCTGAGCTTGTGAAGACACTGGAGGGCTTAGAGTGAGCTGGACCTGGAGGGGTTTGTAGGCAGAACTGCAGAACAACTCTCCTCAACACACATGACTGATGACCAAAGGTCAGAGGGAAACTGGGTGTCTCTCCAAGAGCAGAAGGCAGAATGACCCAAGTGGGACCTTGGCAGTATATACACCTTTCTCTTCTCATCCTCCACCCCCAGGTCAGATGCAACCCTGGATATACTGAATGACTGAGATGAACAGAATTCCAAACAGAAACAGAAAGTAAGTTTAGCTATATATATACATAAAAGTTTCATTTCTTACTTTTGTTAGAATTTAGGACATGCAATCCTAAAATATGGTATCTTAGCATATTAAATATTTTAAGTTGAAGGAATTTTTAACAAATAGCATAAACAGGAAGACCAGGGCATAAACCCTTGCCCTTCGTCCCTGAAATAGGTCATAAAACTCCCAAATGAAAAGCACCCCTCTGGCCATCATGCCCTACAGTACCACTGACAAAAGGTTGTTACAGATGGCTTTGGGAGGGAATACAAAGAGGAATTACAGTACAGACAACCACTCACAATTGGCTGTTAGCCATTCATCAGCCATCCCAACTCCCAGGATGCCTTGCTGACCTTGGCTTTCTCTGCCTTCCTCTCCCTCTCACCCCCTACCAGGGATGACCTTTCTTCTTTTTCTCTTTTCTTTCCAAAGCAATGTAGCACTTTGTTCTGATTTCTTCTTTTGTATTTTTCTTGGGAGCCTCATTTTTCAGAATTAAATGGGCAATCAGGAACAACAAAAGGTCCTCTTTAAGAGCGTTTCCATCATCAGTTTTGGAAACAACACTTGTTTTTTGCCGTTGCCCACCACACTTCAGTCCTCCAGTGAGAATACCTGGGGGCAAAACCCACCCTGATTTGGGGGAAGGTAGTTGATAACCTTCCAACTGTCCTCAGGCCCAGCCATCTTCTAGCCACTCGTGGATAGTATGAGTGAGCAACTGTCCCACAACAAGGGTGTTCATTTTGGCTATTTCCTGTATTCATCCAGAGGCTGCAAACAGATTGGTTTTGCAACAATCCACAGTCATCATTCAAACACACCATTCAGACAAACTGGCAGTCAACCAAGCCTGGTCTTTTCACACATACAGAGCCCACACGCATCCTTTCGCACAAAGAACTACATACCTGAGCTCCTGAACTGTGGGAATGAAAAAAAAAATGTGCTAAGAGATGAGAAACCCTAGATAAAAGATAGCTGAAAATAGCAATCACACGAAGCAGGGGAACTGCCTAGAATACTAATAGCAAAACCAAGTCAACAGTAATCACCAACATGAACATGTTGGCCTTATTCCCTTTTCACAGATTTCATATATTATAGGCTGCACCCTGTCACTTGGGCTGGAAGGAATGCGGGGAAAAATCGAACATGCTATTCCCTTTAAAATCATCTGGTTTAATTTTAAGAATGATTTTAGTTAAGGGAGAAAGCCAGGTTTACTTGGGAATATTGGTACAGTTCTTCTGACAATCTGAAACAAGTGGGGTAGAATGGAACAGAAGGCACCCACTCTCAACCCTCACAGCACCCAGGGTCACACCTGTGGGCAGAAAGGGTGTGCACGGGGCTGCCTCAAATGATCTCTCAGCAGCAGCCTGAGGAACCAGCAGTACAGGTCATGGGAATCAATTCTTCTTGGCCAGCAAGCTGAGCCCCTGCTGTATCTTCAACACAAGGCGAGATCCTTTTAAGAAGATGACGACCGGCAGATATGACACTCCCTGCACCAAGAGGCTCCACTGCTTACTTCCTTGGGTGGTTAATGTCTTTGAAATAGGGCTTTCCAGGTGGTACTAGTGGTAGAGATCCTGCCTGCCAATGCAGGAGACATAAGAGACCCAGGTTCAATCCCTGGGTCAGAAAGGTCCCCTAGAGGAGGGCATGGCAACCCATTCCAGTATTCTTGCATGAAGAATCCCATGGACAGAGGAGCCTGGCGGGCTATGGTCCATAGGGTCGCAAAGAGTCAGACACGACTGAAGCAACTTAGCACACACACGTTCATGTCTTTGAAACAGGACATTTGCTCTCAAAGCCTGTTTTGCAAAGTATACATATAAACAAATTTCCAACTTTTGAGTGCACTGATGTAATTGGTTTATTCAATCAGGCAGCCAAATTGGGTTACTAAATTAAAGGAGATCAGTGTTCAGAGAGGAGGGGCAAGTTTTGACACAGAGATGGGGGAGGAAGAGAGAAGGAGAAGCAGCACTTCTCACAAGTGGATGCTTAACTGACCTTTCCAATAAGGTGCATCTATACTGTGGAGTACAGTGCAGCTGTAGGAAGAACAAGGTCTTTCTCAATGTACTGGCAGGAGAGATCTCCAGGATATATTGTTGAGTTAAAAAAAAAAAAAGCAGAACAGTTTTTGAGTATACCAGCATTTGTGAGGAAAGAGGAGAAAATAAGATAATATATTTGTTTATAGTTTTATTTGCACAAGATATACTGCAATAATATATATATCTCAATAAAAATGGTAACTCACAGTGGGCAGGAGAGGGGTATGGTGGGATAGGGAAAGGAGTAAATGGAGATAAGGATGAAAGTGAGCCTCTTAATATCTGTCTCATAGCGCTTTGGTTTTTGAACTATGTGACTATATTAGCTATTAAAATCCATAAACAATTTAAATAAAGCAAAGTAGTTAATAAATATGCCATCCCCTTTGCCACCTACTGAACTTCTGTTTTTGTCTGTTAAGGCTCAACTCAAAGGCCACCACGTTGATTTATTCACTAATAAACATAAAAACCCGCTGCATGCTAGCTGCTGTGTTAGATGCCTGCCAGGCCCTGGGGGTGTTCTGGTGAGCAGGGCACACACACCTTTCCTTCAGGATGCTAGAAGCTTGTCTGGGAGCTAGATCACTAAAAGAAAATCACCTGCTATGGGAGAAGACTCTGGAGAAGACTCTGGAGTTTCCTTGAACACTTGGACCCTTGGCCTGGCATCCCCCCAGTACTGTGCTCTGGAATCCCAAACTTGGTAGTTCCCTCCCTTGATTGGGTTTCATACCTGTTGGTCTGCTCAGTCTCTCCTGCTTTGTGAGTCCCTATAAGGTGGGAGCCCAAACATATACCTCTCCAGGTCCTTACAGCTCACTTCATGATGTGTGGTGGGCACCTGATGAACACTGTTTGAATGGACAGATGGTTGAGATGCTTCCCAGAGTGGGCCTCCTAGAGGCAGCAAGAGGAGAACAAGTGACTAGGAGGAAAGAAGAAGGGCTCCTAGCAGTGGACAGTGACTGCTAAAGGCTCTGGAGGAGCCGGAGGAAATAAAAAGTCCCAGGCTATTGTCATCTTAATTAGGTGGTCTAAACAGGAATGGGTTTCCCTGTCAACCTCGATCCAGGAGCTGGATCCCTCCCTAAAACCCAGAACTGATCACTTTGAACCTAGAATACCAGGCAAAACTACCCATGTATGTCCCAGCTCAGCAGGTTTTCCAGGGTCATCACGGCTCACTCTCTGGGGACATTAAGATTAAATACAGTAAATACACATGAGGTCAAGTTCATGACATAGGGTATGAAATACTAAGAAATGGAGATTACTATTCAGAAATTTGCCTACTGCACTCTGCCTGAATAGATTCTTAACCTGACTAAGTCCAGACACAACCTCTGATTTTCAAATGTGGTAACATGAAACATTTACTAGGAAGAAAAACATCTCTTCAAGCTTTGAGTCTTCCTTAGTTATAAATCACTTTCTGGGGTCAATTTTAAAAGTACCTTGTGATGATTTTCCTCTGGTCTGCAATGCAGGAGACCTGGGTTTGATCCCTGGGTTGGGAAGATCCACTTGAGAAGCGAAAGGCTACCCACTCCAGTATTCTGGCCTGGAGAATTCCATGGACTGTACAGTCCATGGGGTCACAAAGAGTTGGACATGACTGAGCAACTTTGACTTTCACTTTCTCCTATTCACAGCAGCACCTGCCAGTGGACAATTCTCCTAGCTCAGTCATCAAAGCAAACCCTACACTCAGAGATGGTTCCTGCCCTATAAGCATTTATATATTTGATTTTGCTTGTCATGTCGATTCACAGAGAGAGGCCAGCCAATGGGAATGATCTCCCCTCTGCTTTTAATTACTATAGGCCCAGAGATGAATGAAAGTCCTTGGCAAGTGGACACAAAGGGCCAGGGTTACCAAAGAAAGGTTGCCTGAACTGTCAGCTTTGTCTCTGGACTTGATAAGCCTCAGACTGAGTGGAAAAAAAGTCACCAAGCTTGGTCAGCAGCCCAGGGTGGAGGTGGGGGCTGCTGGAATCAGCATTAAGCTAATGAGACAGGGACAAATTAAAACTGTTTTCAGGATCAACAGCTGTCCTTGGGCCTCCTGCTCAGAACTGGCTTTCTGATTTCCAGGGGCTGCTGCAGGTGTAGATCTTGGAGGAGAGAGAAAATGAGGTTTGACTGCAGAGGGAGCGTGGCAGGGTGGGGCTCTCAGAAGCTGTCTCTCTGCTCCCGAATTCCACATGAGAGCAGACCAACAGTGACAGACTGGAGACAATAGGAGGGAAAACTGATCCCAACAGAAGAGAATAAATCAGGAAACTGGAAAACATAGCTGCGCAATAGACAGAAAACTCAGACAAGGTGACAAATGAGTGACCTGACAGAAGGAAAATGAATCAAGTAAGAGGTGGAAAAAGGCAGAAAAGGAAGCACATAGGTGGTTTCATATGGATGAGGGGGTGCAGAATTTGACAGAGGAGGAAACATACAAAAGGTACGGAACACAAAATGAGATGGGGAACGTATATACATATTTTTTCTTCTTAATAAAAAGGACATATATAACATAGATCATTAAAAATCCTGTATAATTTCCACCTACATAGCTTCCTTCAAAATAACCACTGCTAATAGTCTGGTGAATGTTCTGCCAGGTTTCCCGTGTTTCTGGCACAGTCAGAAGTGTAGGGAGGAATGGATGAAGGGAGGAGAGAGTGGGGAGATCACTGTGGGGAGGAATTTTGATGGGCTGATGTGGCCAAAGCTGCCAGGGCCTCACAAGGTCCTAAAAGCACCCTGATGGCCATCCTGGGCAGGCTGACAGCTCTGGCCCCGGGGGGCAGAGCAGAGGGCACTCTCTCCAGAGAGCCTGTTGGAGGCTCCCGGGGCAAGATGGAAGCACAGGAGAGCTAATGCCCCAGGAGTAACCTTCACCAACTCAGTATGTGCAATGGAGCGTAGTTATTTGGCCTCTTCCTTCCTCGGGGGGAACATTCTGAGGTGTGTTCCCCAAACTATCCTCTCTGGGATTCGACTCTGATACCCTCAGTGGTAACCTGCTCATTAATACACCCTTTACTACGTTTTCTTTCTCCCTTGTCTCACTTTCCCACTACCAAAACAAAGCAAAGCCCAAACCGAATAAACAAAAACTACCGAACTATGTGTGTACAAGTCTTTGCTTCGGGATCTGCTTTGGAGAAGCAGGAACAGAAGGCCTTCTATGGAACAGAAGGCACCAGCAGTGGGATGGGGAGGAGGACAGACTGGGATCCATTTAGGAGGCAGACTGCACACAATTCACCCAGCAAAGGGCAAGGCGATGGCTGAGGAAGAGGGGATGCTACAGTCAGCTGAGAAATAAGTTTCTACCTTAACTCTTTTTTAAAAAATATAATTTATGACATCACTTTATGGCTATACTACAGATGGGGTGAATAAAAAGCTGAGAGAATGGATAGTAGAATGCAGAGGTAGGTGGAGAAGGAATTTAGGCTCAAGATTGCAGGGAGAGAAAGTATAAAATGAGCAAACAGCAAAAAGGTACATGAGAATTAATTGCAGGAAGAAGCATAAGGGAGAAAAATGACATGGAATGAGTGAAGTAATGGGAAAGTGAGACAAAGAATGGATGAGGGGTGAGGAAATGTAACAGATGAGATGGGGAATAAAGTAGTGAAGGAGAGAAAAAATTACACAGTGAATTAGAAATGTTCATTTTATGGGCAAGGAAATGAGGACATGGAAGGGAATATTAAGAAAATTAGTCCTGGTAACCAAAGCTGTGGGAAAATGTATAATGAATGAATAAATGAGCAGAAAGAATGGATGAAGGAATGTGAAACTGAACAATAAGACCCCAAATGACTGGGTGATTGAGACCGTGAAAATGACCATCAAAAGGAAACAGGCACCCTAAAAATGGACATAAAATTAAGGAATGAAGGAACATCCAATGAGAAATTAGTAGAAGGATCAAAAATAAAAATAGAGGTCTGCTGTGAAGGAATGAACACTTCCTTCCAAACTTTAATCAAAACCTCTTGCAAGGTTCTAAAGTTTTCCCCTGGATCTGCCTGCTGTTTTTCCCTCCAGCTGGATCCAGATGGCTGGAGAGCCCTGGCGGAGAGAAGAGCCAGCAACTGTGGAGCCAAAGAGAAACAGCGGCCAGGGAAGCACAAGAAAAAATCACTGAATTGCAGAGAAGCAGCCAAAGATACTCTCCACACTTAAAGGTCCTCCAGTAAAAATGAAAACCCCAACTTTATATTCGGCTACGTCATTTTTACTTGTCTTAAAATCAACATGTTTTCTTCTCGAATATTAATCATAAGAAGAATTAACTAGATAAGTAGATCTTGCTGTGATTATTAGAAGACCATTAAAGAAAGTAATAATTGTGGTAGACTCTGAAATATCTCCCAAGATCTTTTTAGTTTAAAATTTAGCCATCCATCCTGCTAAAACTCCATTTCTCAGCCTCCCTTCTCCTAGGTATGGTCATGTGACATGGGGACCAATAGAGTCTGAGCAGAATTAAAGTACATCACTACTGGGTTTTGCCTTTAAAAGCACTGGCTATGAATCCCACTTTCTTTCTTCGTTTCTGCTGTCTGAGAGATGGTGAACCCAGCAATGAAAGCCATATGTTAAGAGGGTGGCAGACACAGCACAGCCGAGCCAAGCAAAGCATTCCTATCGGATCTGCACCATGTATATCTGGACTTTATGTGAGAGGGAAATCCTCTCTTAAGTGACTGTATTTTAAGGTTTCATTTTTATATCAGTTTAGCCAGTACTCCAGCTAATACATTATCTGATCTTGGGATTTAAAGTTAGCACTCTCTGCTTATTACCAATGCATGAGCACCTGCTACACACACACACACACACACACACACACACACACACACACACGTGTCCTGGAGAAGTAGGAATGGACTTATTCACATTCTTGCGGGATCTTCCTCATGGCCATTAAAATGTGTTTAAACTTAATTACCTTTCTCACTTTCTCTATTTCAGGAAGACTCTCCAGATTAAGACTGAGACCCATGTCTCCAAAACAGCACACCTTGGCAATGTGCTCTGATCCTTGAGGGAATTAACCGTATACTACTTGTGGGACTAACCATAATATACTAACCATATTGACTTGTGGGACAGACTGCTGCTTAAGACTTAGCAGTAGAGATTTCAGAACCAAAAAATCCAGGGTTCTCATTTCAGTTCCACCACTTGCTAATTCTGTGACCTTGGGAAAGTTACTTATTTCTCTGTGCCTCAGTTGCATCATTTGTAAAGTGGGGTGATAGTGCCAACCTCCTAGTTGTGGTGAGAGCAAAATAGGCATAAAAGAATTATTTGCCATGATTACTTGTGTTATTAGCACTTTGCCAGCTCCAAAGTTGTCTGCAGAGCAGCCTGAGCATGTAACATCCCTGTTTGACACCAAAAAATGTTAAAACCCACACTGGCTCCTCAGAAGAGGATCCAAGGTCTGCTATTTCCACAGATGCATAATTTCATTTATTAAAGATGAATTTTCCCTCAAGTTTTATCTTAAAATGTGTCTTTGAAGCACCAAGATGGAGAACTTCACTGTAACCCCTAAAATGCTAACTATAATCCTCATTATCAATAAGCGCTTATGAAGAGCCTGAAGCAGAAATACAATTAAGTTAGGTCAAATAAATTAAGAAAGAGTTGATGTAGCTTCCGCAGGTCATCCAGTTAGTGTGTGAAGCTGAAGTAAAGACCTTGGCAATTTGGTTCTGGAATCCTGCCCTTAACTTTTTGACAATCTCAGACTTCACTGCACATTTTACTCATGATCTAAGCTTGCCCCAGACTCAGTCTTTGCCTTGTTATAGCACCAATCCCAGGAAAGGAATTTGATTAGCCTATATTGGGTCTGATGGTCTGCCTTTGGTGCTATCAGCTGTGACCGCAAGGCTGGGTCACTTGATACAGCTTGATTTTCCTTTTTTTAAAAAAATATACACAGCAGGTAAGAAAACACGTTTTTAATGGGGAAATTTAAAGTATAATAACTGAGCACAATTTTTTGTAACAAGTTTATAAATGAGAACAGGATTTTTGGAGGGCAATGACATTTCACTTAATTGGGGTTCAAATTTAGGTTCCTGTCATCAAATCAGTTGCATATATTCATCTATCAGGAGGCGTTATAAGTGGGAGTAGTTTTAAAAAGAGAGAGCTTTAAGCACACAGCCACCCCCAAACCTATAAAATGTGCAAATGAAACTTAGATTGGTGGTCAGGTAAGACAGTAAGTTGACCAGTTCACAGGACTAGGTCATGGTGAGAGGTACAGAATGGATGCCATGTTATATATGTCAGGTCGTGGAGCCCATAAAAGCCAGTTACAATGCTTGGAGAGAGAGAACTCGGAGAACACAAGACCTCCCAAACAGAGGAACAGAAGTGAATAGAAGAGCGCCCCATTAAGGAGACCGGAAGCTGCGGTATCAAGTGCTCCAGAGAGGTCAAGAGAGCAAAGGACCCAGAACTGTCCTCTGGATCTGACTACTAGAAGGGCTGGCAACTTTGATGGGAGTAAATTTAGGGGAAAATCAGCACGGACAGCAATGGGTTGATCAGAGCCCTGTGGAAGGTGAGGAAGGAGACACAACGACATAGCTACTTTTCAAGCTCAGCTTGGAAGAAGAGAGTCACAAATACAGTCATAGGTGAAGGGAAAGGGGTGTGGGGAGACAGCTGCTAAAATTTTGGTTTCATGAGTTGAAAAAACAAGTCAGGAGTAAAGAATATGGTTGAAGATGAGAGAGAGGTTAATTGATATGGAGATGTTACCAGAGTGGAGGGCTATAGGGTTGATTTTGGACAGGCAGAGAGCTACATCTTTTTTAAATTACTTGAAACACTTCACAGAATTGATTTAGCAGAGTCAAACTAATATGAAAAGTGACTTGAAGAGTCCCAAATATTGTGGCTATATTTGTTGCTAAATTTTGTTTTAAATCAGAATAATTACCTGCACAGAGACAAAAAAAAAAAAATGGATGGACTTACAATGATATCAATAGTGCCTTGTTCCACCATTCAATACTCCCACCCTCCATCTAAAAACAGCTATTTTTAACACAAACATTTTCTTATTTTTGGTGCTTTTTGTTTTAGCTATTTTTCTCAATAATATGCCTAGATCACTGTTTCCTAAGTTATCAAATATAGATACAGTTTATTGACTTTTTGCTAAGGATTTAGATGACTTTCAATTGCCACACCTCTAGCCCCTTCCAATAAAATTATATCACTATTTTTATTTCCTGTATCAGTTACCTTTGTAAATTTAAATAAACTATTGTCAAATAAACTTCACTCCCTCCCCATCATTTTCTCCCTTGTTTCTTTCTCTCTTTCTCTCCTTATGTCTGTCTTTCCTCCATCTATCATCCCAGAAATAGCTACTGGATGTCCAATATATGCCTTGTACTCTTGTAGGGGCTGGAAACACAGCAATGAACAAGCTAGATGAGGTCACCCCTGACATTACAGTTTCAGGGGAGACGACAAACAAATGCAATTACAGATGGTAGCTCTCAACTCTATTCTGTATGATGAGGAAAGAGCACCCTACCTTTTTCCTCATCTCTTCTGACCTACTTTTCCTTCCTGACTTTGCCACTTGTACTTTCATTTTACATTGTTACCTCGTGACGTGTTTAGGGTTATGTTGCAGTTGATACTAAAAGATGAAATCAATAAACAGTGCTTCCATTATCCTGTTTAGGTAAATACTGTTCACAGCACAACTGGGTCAGACATGATGATTGTGCTTCTGATCTCAGGCAATATTTCAAGTGCTCAGGGGCTGAAGCCAGTCTGCTACAGTTTGATGCTGGCTTTGTCATAAGTTCTTTTTAATCTTTGCCTCAGTTCTATCATCTCTAAAATGAGAATAATAATAGTGCCAGTGTCTGAACTGTTATCAAAATTAGAAAGCTAATAAAAGTAAAGTGTTTAGAATAGTGCCTGGTCTTGGCGCTAGTGGTGAAGAATCCACCTGCCAATACAGGAGACCCAGGAAACAAGGGTTCTATCCTTGTGTCAGGAAGATCCCCTGGAGAAGGAAATGGCAACTCACTCCAGTATTTTTGCCTGGAAAATTCCATGGACAGTGGAGCCTGGCAGGCTATAGTCCATGGGGTTGCAAAGAGTCAGACACAACTGAGAACATATGCACACAAATGTTACCTATAATTAATGTACTATTTGTAATTTTCCTCACTCCCTTTTGTTTTTCAGGGAGTGTTCTTTATTATCCTATAAGCAATCCTACACTCTCAGAGATCACATTAAATCCCATGGATCCTCATTTTCCCCAAGGTCCCTCTCTCCTGGAGTTCTTCATCTGCTCTTAAAAACTGGACTCCCTGTTCTTAGGCCTGCTACACAGCTGTCTTACTGGGATTTCCCTCACTTTCTTCCCTGGGCTGGATTCACTGTTGACTGGGCCTCACGTAGGGTAGGACAGACCACAAAGAGCAGACCAGGTTCAAGGCCTGGAAAGATGACAGCTTGGAATAGACAAAATCACTTTGCATCAGTTTAGTATCCTTTCAAGGGCTTCTCTGGTGGCTCCGATGGTAAAGTGTCTGCCTGCAATGCGGGAGATGTGGGTTCGATCCCTGGGTCAGGAAGATCCCCTGGAGAAGGAAATGGCAACCCACTCCAGTACTCTTGCCTGGAAAATTCCATGGATGGAGGAGCCTGATGGGCTACAGTCCATGGGGTCGCAAAGAGTCNGGAAAAGACCCTGATGCTGGGAAATATTGGGGGCAGGAGGAGAAGGGGAGGACAGAGGATGAGACTGTTAGATGGCATCACTGACTCAATGGACATGAGTTTGAGCAGGCTCCAAGAGTTGGTGATGGACAGGGAAGCCTAGCATGCTGCAGTCCATGGGGTCGCAAAGGGCTGGACATGACTGAGCAATTGAACTGACTGACTGACAGAATATTGGTTCTAGGATCAACATTCCTTGCTATTCCACAGTTACAATTCTTACTCCTGTGTTTGTTTATCAAGGCATCTCTGGGTCCATTTGAGGTCTCAGTGCATCCTTCTCCTTCTTGGCTCCCCTTTTATTTATTTTTGTTCTGGAGCACAAGTACCATGGGATAGAAATTCCCAAGACTTTGTATGTTTAAAATT